CCTGTCCCTTATAATTTTGGAGAGACATCCCACATTTTGTGGAGGGGGAAGGGAAAGATTAGCAAAACATGGTGGCTGCTTAAAAGCAGCTCAAAGGGTTGGAGTGTGAGAAGTAGTTCTGGGGAGAAGGATTAGTGGGCAGAGGGTAGGTAAACTGGCCACAGATGCAATGTTCTTCCATTTTGAGAAATAGTCCCAGTTCCAATGATAGTTTCCATTTTATATACAGAGAATCTCAAACCAGTAGAATCTTTCAAAACAGAAGTAATATTTTAAATGCAACCACTGTAGTTACCTCAGCTAAAATATTAGCATTAGTTACTGTAGTTTTCCTTTCATGAGGTGTGTAAAATACCTGAGTCTCAACTTTTTTACCCTAATTGTTCCAGTTCCTCTGTTATTCATATTGAACAATTTTCTGGCACCATCTATGGATATCTCCCTCTTTATTTTTTCTACTGAGTTAGCCCTGCTTTCCTTGGAATTTAATCTCAATATATTTCAAGTTTACCAAGTCTTTTAAAAAATATTTTAACAATAAATCAACATCGAAAAAGTTACCTTTCTCTGAGCTTTATGAGTCTTCTCCATTTCCTAGCAAAAACAATAAAGCATACTCTGTTTTTCCTGATATTAATTTTCCCACTACAAAAATTCTCACGTGGTAGCAATTTAGTGTAGTTTAGTGAATTCATTAATTTGTCCTTTCTTCTGGGTAACGGAAGAAATCATCTACACCTAAGCAATATATAGATGGCATCATGCTATTTGAAAATATGTGGTCTGACCAGCTAAAAGAGCAACCACAGACAGCGTATCAAACCCACCAACAGCAACACATAGGCCAGTCCTTGGCAGACGACGTATATCACAAATTGAACTCTACAGAAATTAATAGACTCAAGTTCAGACCCAGTGTACGTGAGCACAATTCTGTTGAAGTCACTGGAGTTACATTTGTTTAGAACAGGGATGAATTTGGCCAATAAACCATGAAACCAGCATTCTTCATTTACAAAATGATAACCACAAGCAGGGCACTAAATTCTGTACTTGTAGGTGAATGGACTCTGTGAGCTATTGTTTAATATTTATACTACAATAGTGTCCAGAGGCTCCTGACAGGAGAGGTTTCCCATTGCGCTAGGTGCTGTACAAACACAACCACCACATCCTGTAAAGATTATAGTGTAGGGGGTCTTACATACCTTTCACTATGATTCTATTACTAATATCTCACTATGTAATATAGTCAGCTGAGTCTTTTTCCCAACAGAACGCTGAGTGCTGCTATTAATATTACCTTGCATTTGTATAGTACATTACATCTGAGGATCTGAAACCACTTCACTATCTTTAACTAATTTAGCCTCACGATGCTCATGGGAGGTAGAGAAATATTATGACCCCTTTTATTACTTATGAAAAAGGTGGCATGGAAATGTTTAAGCATGAAAGTTTGAAAGTTAGTCCCTTAAGTTAGGATACTAGTTACATGAGCAACCTGAATGATTTTCAGAGGAGCTCCTGGAAGTCCAGGCCACTTGAGCACATCAGTAGTCTCATTGGCTTTAATGAGACCTTGCTGAATCAAGGTCTTAGTGTTGATTAGTGCACCTAAATTCATACTGATGCACCAAAATCAGAGGCCTAGATTTTCAGGAGCACAGTTCATTTTTAAAAATATCAGCCCATTTATTTAGGTGCGAATATACAAAATTTAGGTGCCTAACCTCTCACCCTGAAGTTTGAAAATGCTCCCCTATGTGATCTTCCCAAGGTCATACAGGGATTCTCTGCCAGAGCTGCAAACAGAATGTGAAAACCAACCTTCACCACTAGAAGTTAAATTGGTGGTGATTTAGAAAACAAATTTTGCATTTCTTTCTTCTTTGCTTCTGACCTGATCTAGGTTATGTTGCATGGCTAACAATATTTTTTATTTCCCTATCGCCTTGAGTTTTTTAGATTTACAATGGATCTTATCTCATTTTTGAGGGCTGTAGTTCATACAAATTACATTTTTAGTGAAAGATAGGTGGGAGTTGGAGCTGCTAAATTCTTGGGCATTGTAAATTATCCATTATCAACTGTACTTTTAAACATTTATAATTACTCATATTTAAAATATTTTGGCAAATCGGAGAAGCACATAATCTTTGCATTTTTTTATTACCTTCTTTTCATGTAGAAAGAATGATTATGGTGAAAAAATAGCTTAAGAAAATATTGGGAGAAAAAAAGGGAGTTAGCAGCTTCCATTTCTTGCCTTTTAATACCTCTTCTTTCAAGCCTCCAAAGTACCCAAAATGTTAGTTGATGTTACCCAGCATATATCACAATTAGTTTTAAGTCATAGCTCTTTTAAAATGAGCAGTCATTAAGGCTTCACTATTGCTGTCTGAGCCCTTGACCTTGGTTTAGAGGGAGACCACAGCCTTGCGATGATCTCCTTTCAGTCTGCTGCAGTTCAAGAGAAACTATTCATTCAAAGCTCACAACAAAATGTTTTTTTAGGGCTTTTGTAACACATTGTAGCAACATAATGAAACTTTCCGATGAGCAGCCTTTAAACAGGAGAGAGAGACAGCAAATGCTTTGGCTTCAGTTTATTGAGAGATTTCTTTTTTAAACTGTAAGCAGAAATCCACTTAAAGGCAGAGTAAGAAAACAGAGCACCTGAAAATGGCACAGAATCAAGCACCTGTTATTTTTAATGAGGAAGTGTGCATGGCAGGTCAGACTGACTACTTTTACACTAAGCAGGCAAAGCAACTTGCTCAATGAAATGTTCTTAAGTGCTCAAATCATCCCACAAACGGTTCCCAAAACATTTTTGAGGGTGTCTGCAAAATAGTTTTAAGCATGAATATTTTAATAGCATAATTACTCATGGTTTTGATACAGTAGATGAGACTATTAATGATTTATAGTTGTCTTAATATGCTACAGAAACACAAACAAATGTAAAACTTTGTTCATTAAGTGATCCACTTCTGATTTGACAGAAAAGAAACACACACAGTCAAGTTGTGCTGCCATCATGTTAGTTTCTCGAGGTCTCTTCTCCCTCTTAAATTACACTTTATTTATTTGGGTTATTTTACTACAATCTGCTGTTCTCTTTGCCAAATATTTACCAATATTTGTGCTACTCACAAAATGAACCAGTTGTAATCCACAGAAAAATAATTCTGTACTATACCTCCTCAAACTGCATTCTCTATCTTGAAGTTACATATGACAACTAAAACACACATGCCCCAAATATACTGACAATTCTCTATTGTGCGAGAGGAAGAAATAAGAAAAGGAAAAAACCCTCACTATGTCTATGACAGTTATACTGGATCAGACTGATATATTCATCTTCTGTTCAACAGCTTAACAGTGAGCAATGCAAACCACTAGGAGAGTCAGGTAATCTTAGCTATTTTTTCATGCATTCTACAATAGCGGAAATTAAGTCCTGTGTAAAAGGTTGAACATATGTGGAAATTACCATAAACTAAGGTCTAATTCATCACTTCAAATACTGCAAGACCCAGAATTAAGCGTGATAAAGACAGATGGCTAGCATATGGCACCAGAAGGACCACTGCACCTAGAAGAGCCTCAAATGTTTCTTTTTTATGTTCTAGGGAAACAATAGTGTATGGAGGTGAGAGGAGTGGAAAGCTTCATTGCTGTCCTGACTTATGATAGCCCAGATTTTTCTAAACCCCTTTAAGTATGCAGATGCTGCCGTTTATAAAAACAACTTTTGATGTTATAAACATGTCTCACATCACATGGAGGTGAAACAAAATGTTCAGAAAGTTGATGTGAACCCAAATATGTTGGCAGACATGATAATACAAGTGCAAACATTTAGGTCAACAGCCAGTGGCAAGAAATGGCTGCTGGTGTCAGCAAGTGTTAGAGCAGATGGTACAGGATAGAGTTATTATCATATGCTCTGGACATCTGGCTCAGCAGCAACACACAGCTTCACTTCTCCCCCTCCCTCTCCATCAGATGGCATCCTGGCTCAATAACATAAATAGTTTTTTTCACTGAATTTCAAATATGGCACAGTTAAGTCTCTGCATTATCCCTGCCTGTCTTGACATAAGCCTATTTAATTAGTGTAGTACTGGCTGCCTGAATGGGAAAACATTTGCTCACTTCTGAGTTTGCTAAGTAAGTGCTGATTCCTGTTCTGCTGATCCCTCTTAATCTAATGGGCTTAGATCCAACCACTGTGTACAGTCAAAAACTTAAGAGTGCAAAAGAAAAGAAATTGAAAGATCATCTTTAGTATGCAGTATGGATTTATACAAATCTGAAGCTGTTGCTTGGATTTCACCATGAAAGACTGTAGTGCGCCATATGGTCAAAAGTAACTCTCAAACTAAGGCAATTTTTTAAAAATATATACATTAAAGGTATATATTGAGAGTATAATATGATATAATATCCACTTCAGAGTCCAAAAGTTAAGAACTGGAATTGGATCCAAATCTCAAACTTTTTTGAAGTACTAGTGTGTTCATATTTGATTTCACAGTACAACTAATTAAAAAGATGCATGTGAGATGCAAAATTAAAATCAGGGTCTGACATTCCCAGAAGTTTCTATCGGGTGTTTGGCATCCATTTTAAATTATACTGCATTAGAAGTGTGCAAGTTTTTGAATACGGTATTTGTGTTTCATAAAGACAGAGGGAATCAGGCAACTTTTCAAATTCAACATTTTTTTTGTTTTGTTTTGTTTTTTAAAGTAACCACAAACTGAAAACTTTTCAGTTTAAAGCCAAAAGTTTTTGGCTTTCAAGTTTTAATTTTTTCAGCAGAAACATTTTTTTTCAGTTTTGTTTACATTTTTCCAAGGGACAAAGTTTCCCCAACCCGGTGCTACTCACTCCTCTACCAGCTTATTGTCCATGTGTGTTTCATGGGCTTTGCTCCATGCCATGAGTATAAGCCCTGGTCTACACTAGGACTTTAGGTTGAATTTAGCAGCGTTAAATCGATTTAAACCTGCACCCGTCCACACAATGAAGCCCTTTATTTCGACTTAAAGGGCTCTTAAAATCGATTTCCTTACTCCACCCCTGACAAGTGGATTAGCGCTTAAATCGACGTTGCCAGCTCGAATTTGGGGTACTGTGGACACAATTCGATGGTATTGGCCTCCGGGAGCTATCCCAGAGTGCTCCATTCTGACCGCTCTGGACAGCGCTCTCAACTCAGATGCACTGGCCAGGTAGACAGGAAAAGAACCGCGAACTTTTGAATCTCATTTCCTGTTTGGCCAGCGTGGCAAGCTGCAGGTGACCATGCAGAGCTCATCAGCAGAGGTGACCATGATGGAGTCCCAGAATCGCAAAAGAGCTCCAGCATGGACTGAACGGGAGGTACGGGATCTGATCGCTGTTTGGGGAGAGGAATCCGTGCTATCAGAACTCCGTTCCAGTTTTCGAAATGCCAAAACCTTTCTGAAAATCTCCCAGGGCATGAAGGACAGAGGCCATAACAGGGACCCGAAGCAGTGCCGCGTGAAACTGAAGGAGCTGAGGCAAGCCTACCAGAAAACCAGAGAGGCGAACAGCCGCTCTGGGTCAGAGCCCCAAACATGCCGCTTCTATGATGAGCTGCATGCCATTTTAGGGGGTTCAGCCACCACTACCCCAGCCGTGTTGTTTGACTCCTTCAATGGAGATGGAGGCAATACAGAAGTAGGTTTTGGGGACGAAGAAGATGATGAGGAGGAGGTTGTAGATAGCTCACAGCAAGCAAGCGGAGAAACCGGTTTTCCCGACAGCCAGGAACTGTTTCTCACCCTAGACCTGGAGCCAGTACCCCCCGAACCCACCCAAGGCTGCCTCCTGGACTCAGCAGGCGGAGAAGGGACCTCTGGTGAGTGTACCTTTTAAAATGCTATACATGGTTTAAAAGCAAGCATGTGAAAGGATTACTTTGCCCTGGCATTTGCGGTTCTGCCTTTGCAAAAGGTTTCTGGGGAGGGCAGCCTTATTTCGTCCTTCATGGTAGGACACTTTACCACTCCAGGCCAGCAACACGTACTGGGGAATCACTGTAGAACAAAGCATTGCAGTGTATGTTTGCTGGCATTCAACCAAAATCCGTTCACGCGGTGGGAGGAGGCAAAATGCGACCTTGTAACGAAAGCACATGTGCTATGTATGTAATGTTAACAGCAAGGTTTACCCTGAAAGAGTGTAGCGACTGTTTTATAAAATGTGTCTTTTTAAATACCGCTGTCCCTTTTTTTTTTCTCCACCAGCTGCATGTGTTTCAATGATCACAGGATCTTCTCCTTCCCAGAGGCTAGTGAAGCTTAGAAAGAAAAAAAAAACGCACTCGCGATGAAATGTTCTCCGAGCTCATGCTGTCCTCCCACACTGACAGAGCACAGACGAATGCGTGGAGGCAAATAATGTCAGAGTGCAGGAAAGCACAAAATGACCGGGAGGAGAGGTGGAGGGCTGAAGAGAGTAAGTGGCGGGCTGAAGAGAGTAAGTGGCGGGCTGAAGACAGGGCTGAAGCTCAAAGGTGGCGGCAGCGTGATGAGAGGAGGCAGGATTCAATGCTGAGGCTGCTGCAGGACCAAACCAGTATGCTCCAGTGTATGGTTGAGCTGCAGCAAAGGCAGCTGGAGCACAGACTGCCACTGCAGCCCCTCTGTAACCAACCGCCCTCCTCCCCAAGTTCCATAGCCTCCACACCCAGACGCCCAAGAACGCGGTGGGGGGGCCTCCGCCAACCAGCCACTCCACCACAGAGGATTGCCCAAAAAAAAGAAGGCTGTCATTCAATAAATTTTAAAGTTGTAAACTTTTAAAGTGCTGTGCTTAAAGTGCTGTGTGGCATTTTCCTTCCCTCCTCCACCACCCCTCCTGGGATACCTTGGTAGTCATCCCCCTATTTGTGTGATGAATGAATAACGAATGCATGACTGTGAAGCAGCAATGACTTTATTGGCTCTGCAAGCAATGATTAAAGGGAGGAGGGGAGGGTGGTTAGCTTACAGGGAAGTAGAGTGAACCAAGGGGTGGGGGGGTTCATCAAGGAGAAACAAACAGAACTTTCACACCGTAGCCTGGCCAGTCATGAAACTGTTTTTCAAAGCTTCTCTGATGCGTACCGCGCCCTCCTGTGCTCTTCTAACCGCCCTGGTGTCTGGCTGCGCGTAACCAGCAGCCAGGCGATTTGCCTCAACCTCCCACCCCGCCATAAACGTCTCCCCCTTACTCTCACAGATATTGTGGAGCACACAGCAAGCAGTAATAACAGTGGGAATATTGGTTTCGCTGAGGTCTAAGCGAGTCAATAAACTGCGCCAGCGCGCCTTTAAACGTCCAAATGCACATTCTACCACCATTCTGCACTTGCTCAGCCTGCAGTTGAACAGTTCCTGACCACTGTCCAGGCTGCCTGTGTACGGCTTCATGAGCCATGGCATTAAGGGGTAGGCTGGGTCCCCAAGGATACATATAGGCATTTCAACATCCCCAACAGTTATTTTCTGGTCTGGGAATAAAGTCCCTTCCTGCAGCTTTTGAAACAGACCAGAGTTCCTGAAGATGCGAGCATCATGCACCTTTCCCGGCCATCCCACGTTGATGTTGGTGAAACATCCCTTGTGATCCACCAGAGCTTGCAGCACTATCGAAAAGTACCCCTTGCGGTTTATGTACTCGGCGGCTTGGTGCTCCGGTGCCAAGATAGGGATATGGGTTCCATCTATAGCCCCACCACAGTTAGGGAATCCCATTGCAGCAAAGCCATCCACTATGACCTGCACATTTCCCAGGGTCACTACCCTTGATATCAGCAGATCTTTGATTGCGTGGGCTACTTGCATCACAGCAGCCCCCACAGTAGATTTGCCCACTCCAAATTGATTCCCAACTGACCGGTAGCTGTCTGGCGTTGCAAGCTTCCACAGGGCTATCGCCACTCGCTTCTCAACTGTGAGGGCTGCTCTCATCTTGGTATTCATGCGCTTCAGGGCAGGGGAAAGCAAGTCACAAAGTTCCATGAAAGTGCCCTTACGCATGCGAAAGTTTCGTAGCCACTGGGAATCGTCCCAGACCTGCAACACTATGCGGTCCCACCAGTCTGTGCTTGTTTCCCGAGCCCAGAATCGGCATTCCACAGCATGAACCTGCCCCATTAGCACCATGATGCATGCATTGTCAGGGCCCATGCTTTCAGAGAAATCTGTGTCCATGTCCTGATCACTCACGGGACCGCGCTGATGTCGCCTCCTCGCCCGATATCGCGTTGCCATGTTCTGGTGCTGCATATACTGCTGAATAATGCGTGTGGTGGTTAATGTGCTCCTAATTGCCAAAGTGAGCTGAGCGGGCTCCATGCTTGCCGTGGTATGGCGTCCGCACAGAAAAAAGGCGCGGAACGATTGTCTGCCGTTGCTCTGACGGAGGGAGGGGCGACTGAAGACACGGCTTACAGGGTTGGCTTCAGGGAGCTAAAATCAACAAAGGGGGTGCCTGTACATCAAGGAGTATTTCAGGCAGGACTGCACGGAGGGTTCCAATAAGAAATGGTGCACCTAAGTTATCGTTGTTATTGGAACAAGGAGGTTAGCCTGGCCTCTGATTGATACATGGCTAGATTTACCTCGCTGCACCTTCTCTGTGAGTGACTGCAGTGTGACCTAGAGGAATGAGTCCCCTAGACAGGGGAGGAGGCAAATGAGTACAAAACAAATCTGGTCTATTTCTTGTTTTGATCCACTCCATCTATCTTTTACATCTTTGGCTGGCAGCAGACGGTGCAGAAGGACTGCATGCCATCCACATCTCATGGCTGCTCGGCAGAAGATGGTACAGTACGACTGCTAGCCATCCCCATCTCTTGCCTGCCTGGCAGAAGATGGTGCAATACGACTGCTAGCAATCCTCATCTCTTGCCTGCCTGGCAGAAGATGGTACAGTACGACTGCTAGCAGTCCGTATCGCCTGCCCGCTCACCATAAGACGGTTCAATAGGACTGACTGCAGGACTAAAGAGAATGACCTGGTCAAGTCACTCCAAATTTAGTCCCTGCGCCCATGTCTGCCCAGGCGCTCCCAGCCGACGCGGCCAGGAGCACCTCGGACACGATGAGGACGACTACCAATCGTATTGCACCGTCTGCTGCCAGAAGGCAAGGGGTTGCTGCTACTGTGCAGCAAAGCCGTACCGCGTCTGCCAGCACCCAGGAGACATAGGGTGACGGTTACCTGAGCGGGCTCCATGCTTGCTGTGGTATGGCGTCTGCACAGGTAACTCAGGAAAAAAGGCGCGAAATGATTGTCTGCCCTTGCTTTCACGGAGGGAGGGAGGGAACGGGGGGCTGACGATATGTACCCAGAACCACCCGCGACAATGTTTTAGCCCCATCAGGCATTGGGATCTCAACCCAGAATTCCAATGGGCAGCGGAGACTGCGGGAACTGTGGGATAGCTACCCACAGTGCAACGCTCCGGAAGTCGACGCTTGCCTCGGTACTGTGGAAGCACTCCGCCGAGTTAATGCACTTAATGCACTTAGAGCATTTTCTGTGGGGACACACACACTCGAATTTATAAAACCGATTTCTAAAAAACCGACTTCTATAAATTCGACCTTATTCCGTAGTGTAGACATACCCTTAGTAAACTTTGGCTCTTCCAGACACAAAAGGGAAGTGAATTTCCTGATTTGAAGGCTTTTCACTGAGAATGCCCTGCCAGTAGCTCTTTCAGGTATTTAAATCTATAAATAGTTAGCTCAAGCACCTTAGATGATCTCAGCTGATGTGGCTGAGCACAGATCACCTCTTTCCCTCTCAAACAGCCAGCAGCCAAATGACATGTGGGTCCTTTGGTCAGTGTCTTCACTTTTAATTGCATCCAGAAGCAAATGGGAAGCTAGTTTAGTTTTGACAGGCTGGTGCAAAATGCTGCCTTAGACCAACACCAATAACCAAGAAAGCTGCTGAATTCTACACCAGCTGTAGCTTTTAAGTTCTCTTCACAGGTAGTCCCAGAGCTCATTAAAGTAATCCATTCTGGAGGACATAGAAGCATGACTTTCTAGACAAACTCTACATCAGTGAAACACTGTCACAGTCATTGTGCGAAGCACAGATAAAAAAACAAACCAAAACAAACCAAAAACCCAGACACACACACTACTGGCCAATGATGTCTCCTGGGAGACTAGCATCAGTCAAAGATCCTGACGTAATTAGTTTGCTAACTTTTAGGGCACAAGATGAGCACATAGGCTAAAGATATCAACCTTTCTATATTCTCTGGTTGCTTCTGCTAACCCGCCAGCACGACACCTTCTTATCTGGAATACGCCACAGCCAGCTTGCCCTAACTATGCCCCTATCTTACTGTCCCTTTATTGGACAGTCTTACCCCCAAGCAGTAGCCTTTTACAAAAAAGGGTACAAGCAAGCATGGTCTGGTCCTGGTTCAGCATGGAACATCAACATCATTGGAGATATAGTGCTGTGAAGGATGTCTGGAAATCACAGGCTAGGCTAAAAAAGGGTAGGGGGAAGGGCTGACGACTGTTTGGATTTTTTGTTTTGCTATAAGACTCTTGTTGCATTCAGCTGGAGGGCTGAATCCCAAAACACGATACCCGTCAGGGAAGGCCATTGTTGACTCAGGGGGAGGGAAGGGGCGGGAGGGATACTGAGGCAGCAGCCGTGTCTCCATTCCAGGGACTACTAAACTGCTTTTATAGCTAAACACTAAAGGCTTTGTCTACACTGCCAATTGAATGACAAAACTTTTGTTGTTCACAGGTGCTTAAAGAGGCCCCCCTCGCCCCGAAAGACAGAAGTTTTGCCATGGCAAGTGGCAGTGTAAACGGCTCGTTGTTGGCAGGAGCGCTCTCCTGTCGACAAGGTGAGCTCCATTTGTAGCGGGTGGAAGCGCTGACAAACAAACAGTGTTTACACTGCCCGACTTTTAGCGACACAGCCATGTCGACGTGGCTGTGTCACTAAGAGCTGTGTAGTGTAGACAAAGCCTATGAAAGCATGGACAATACTTTCTAGATTTGATGGAAAATGGAGTGTGAAGTTGTGCGTTATTTACATGCACTGATTCTACTCTTCTCTTGCCAGTACACAAAAAAGGCTTCCCTTTTCACTCCTGCATTCCTTACAATTTCTCTTCTGACCTGAAATATTTACTATGCACATAGTACTAATTCCAGGGACCCACACCAAATAGTCGATTGTGTGCTAAATATTTCCACTGGAAGCTGGAATTCTCCCCACTAGGCCAAGGAGCAAGCTACATAGTCACTGTAGGGAGGCTGCTTCACTCTGGTGGCTGAAGTAGCCCTCTGCATGTGCAATGCACCCCCTGCTATGAATTAGGAGGACTGGAGGATTCTTGCAGCAGTTCTTCTGGTCGCACTCCAGCCCCAATCCCACCTGCCCATTTTGTGCTGCTATCCAAGGAGACCCTGTGGGCTGTGGATTGTGCACCCTCTTCTTGTGTAGCTGAACCACACAGATCCAGTTATTAGGAAGACCTCTCTGACCATGGAGGGAGTTGCTGGATTTGGTCCTTCCATAATCCTAAACTATAAAAAAAGCACACGTCATCATTCTGTCCTCACCCACACCTTGCTCTCAGCACACACATCAGTTGGCTTCATCTTCTGGAGATGGTGGACTGCAACAGAACAGTAATTAAAGCAGAGAAATAATCACACTAGATACAGAAAGTCAGATAGGGAAGGGGAGGAAGGTCATGCATTTAAGGATTAATAACAAGGATTTTTGTTATAAATTGGGGACGCATCACTTGGAAGTAACAGAGAAGGAGAAGGACCTCGGAATATTGGT